AAAAAAAAAAAAAAAAAAAGAAACGACATTCTGGCCTGGTACCCGTAGTGCACTGGTTAGGGCGTTGGCCACATGTACCAGGGCTGGCCAGGGCCTGCTAAATGACGACAACAATAACAACAACAAAAAAAATCCAAGCATTGTGGCGGACACCTGTAGTCCCAGCTACTAGGGGAGGCTGAGGTAAGAGAATCACTTAAGCCCAAGAGTTTGAGGTTGCCATAAGAAGCAACTCCTTATTTGTTCAAATTTTATCATGAGACTGCAGCAATTCAGTCACATCTTCAGGCTCCACTTCTAATTCTAGTTCTCTTGCTATTTCAGTCACATCTGCAGTGACTTCATCCACTGAAGCCTTAAACCTCTCAAAGTCATCCGCAAGGGTTAGAATCAACTTGTTCCAAACTCCTGACCTCCCCATGAATCATGTACATTCTTCATGATTGGTTCCTCAGAATGGTGACTCCTTTCCAGAAGGTTTTCAATTTACTTTTCCCAGATCCATCGGGGAATCATGATCTATGGCAACTATACCCTTACAAAATGTTTTTCCTAAATAAGAAGATTTGAGAAGAGAAATCATTCCTCGATCCATGACTAGAGAATGCATGGCCTGTTGGCAGACATGAAAACAACATTCATCTCTTTGTACATCTCCATCAGAGCTCTTGGATGACCAGGTGCATTGTCAACAAGCAGTAATATTTTGAAAGGAATCTTTTTTCTGAGCAATAGGTCTCAACAGTGGGCTTTAAATGTACAATAAACCAAGCTGTAAACAGATGAGGTATCATGCAGGTTTAGTTGTTCCCATTCACAGAGCACAGGTAGAGTAGATGTAGCATAGCTCTTTAGGGCTTTAGGATTTTCAGGATGGTAAATACACAGCAGCTGCAATTTAGGGCTACCCACTGCATCTGACCCTAATGAGAGTTGGGCAGTTAAAGTCCTAGATGGCAAGTTCTTGCAGTTTTGTCTACTTTGAAAATGTTGTTTGGTGTAGTCACCTAATCAACTCTCATAACTAGATCTTCTCCATAAGTTGCTGCAGCTTCTATATGAGCACCTGCTGCTTCACCTTGTACTTTAACAGTATGGAGACAGTTTTTTTCCTTAAACCTCATGAGTTGATGTCTGCCAACTTAAAATTTTTCTTCTACAACTTCCTCATCTTTCTCAAGTTTCAGAGAACTCCAGAGAGTTCTGAGTTCTGAGAGTTCTGCTCTGGATTAGGCTATGGTTTAAGGGAACATTGTGGCTGGCTTCATCTACCCAGACCACTAAAACTTTCTCCATATAAGCAATAACACTGTTTTGTTTTCTTATCATTTGGTTTTCACTGAGGCAGCACTTTTAATTTCCTTTAAGAACTTTTCCTTTGCATTTACAACTTGGTTAACTGGCACGAAAGGCCTAGGCTTAGTCTATCTCAGTTTTGACATGCCTTTCTCATGAAGCTTAATCATTTCTAGCTTTTGATTTAAAGAGATATGCTGCCTGTCCTTTCACTTGAACATGTACAGGCCATTGTAGGGTTATTAACTGGTCTAATTTCAATATTGTTATGTCTCAGGTAAGGAGACATGGGAGAGGGGAGAGGTGGGGAAGCCTCTGGTTGGTGAAGTAGCTGGAACTTGCTCATTTATCAATTAAGTTCACCATTCTGTAGGGACGTGGTTCACACAACCCTAAACCATTACAATAGTAACATCAGAGATCACTAATCACAGATCACCATAACAGATGTAATAATAATGAAAAAGTTTTATATATGGTAAGAATTACCAAAATGTGACACAAGGACATAAAACATATGCTTCCTGTTTAAAAAATGTGGCCAATAGAACTGCTTAACAGCGTTGCCACAAAGCTTCAATTGATAAAATAAGCAGTATCTGTGAAGCGCAACAAAGCAAAGCAGTATAGAATGAAGTATGCCTGTACACTTCTGAGTCCAATTATTTTCCTTAGGTAAATTTCATGGAATTTTTGGATCAAAAAGTTATGTAACTTTTTAAGCTTTATGATGGATACTGCGGTGTTTTCCAATATGTATCAAAGGCATTCTGAGGACCACTCCCACAAGCAGAGAATTTATGATGGAGTCCAGTCCAGTTTCTATAGCCTTAACAACACTAGGTGTAATTACCTCTTAAATCTTTAACTTTTTTTTTTTTTTATAAAGAGTCTCAAGCTGTCGCTCTGGATAGAGTGCCCTGGCATCACAGATCATAGCAACTTCCAACTCTTGAGCTTAAGCAATTCTCTTGCCTCAGCCTCCCAAGTTTGGGACTACAGGTGCCTGCCACAGCGCCTGGCTATTTTGTTGGTGGTGGTGTCGTTGTTTAGCAGGCCCAGGCTGGGTTCAAACCTATCAGCCTCAGTGTATATGACCAGCACCCTACGCACTGAGCTATGGGGGCGGCTATAATCTTTAACCATTTTTTAAAATAAAATCACTTTTGAGAAATTAATATAAGTTATTTGGTTGTTCAGTATACTATATATCAAAGCGCTCATGAGAAGAGAAAGGCAAAAGTTACTGAGTCTACCTTTTCTGCCCAAATGCCCAGTTTAAAAATTCAGTTTACTGGACAGTCTATATATTGTCTTCTTCCAATCTAGTTCAAAAGACTTGAAGGTCCTTGGAAATGAAGAGACCTTTTATAGCTTATGTGTTCCTATGAAACCTAATCAGTTACAATTCCTTAAAAGGAATTTTACTGAGGGAAAGTGGCATAAGACACAAGCGAGCACTCTTCAAAAATCTAGAGGCCTGGCTTGGCACCTGTGGCTCAAGCGGTTAAGGAGCCAGCTACATACACCAGAGCTGGCAGGTTCGAATCCAGCCTAGGCCCACCAAAAAACAACGACGGCTGCAACCAAAAAATAGCCGGGCACTGTGGCAGATGCCTGTAGTTCCAGCTACTTGGGAGGCAGAGGCAGGACAATCACTTGAAGCCAGGAGTTGGAAGTTGCTGTGAACAATACCACAGTACTCTACCCAGGGCGACAGCTTGAGGCTCTGTCTCAAAAAAAAAAAAAACAACAACTAGAAGGCTTCACGTTTCACATTACTTTCTATGCTTTCAAAACTTTGTACCTTCCAAATAAACTTTTACAGACATCATTCTCTAAGTCTACAGTATATAGTCCCATGTAACCATACTACAAAGAGAAAATTAAGCTAAAAACAGTAGTTTTGAGTGCCATTTAATATTTTTATGTTTATTCTTTCTTTGACAAATTAAAACATTTTTTTCCCTTTACTTTTAAGGATCACAATGACTCAAAGGAAAATCATCTTCCTAACTTAACTACAATGAATAGCTATTTTAATTCTTCTTAGACAAGAACTAAGAGTGCTGTATGTCAGCTATAGAAGTGAATAAAGAATGATCTGGCATGTATGAAGAGAATATTATGCTGTTAGGATTCTTTTTAACCTCATACTGTCACAGGAACTGCTACAAAAGTAGGCTTAAGACAGAACTTTGTCTTTAGAGAAGGAAAAGACTATTTTTGTAAAATAAAAATTTCCTATGGCTTATTTTCTGCTCATTTATGTGGCTTTCTACACAAACTAATAGAACAAAATCTAAATCATTAACTTTTATGTTAAGAACGTCACGATCACAAGTCCCTTTTTGTAGCTATGAAGCTAGTAAGATAAGGATTACCTTAATATTGTGGGATGTAACCACTGCCAACTTATTTTAACTGCAAAATAAGTAAATATAAAAAACAGCCTTTCCATAATCATGGTTTAAATCCACAAATTAGTATTTGGATATACACTACAATCCAAAGAGAATACTGTTAAATGTTGGTGGGCAAGAAGTAGGGTGATTTGCATAGTCTTTTTCCTGTAAGATCAACAGATGCTATTAAGCTCAGTGTCAAACTAAAGAAATCAACAAGTTATGTCTTGAATGAGGCAATTTTAAGTCAACAGAAATTGATACATGATTAAACACATAACTCAAAATTAAAGTAAAACCCGGTAAAAGGCAATACTGAGAAAATACCTTTAATTTGCTACTAGCTTTTGAAACAAGAACTATTTACAAACTTAAAATTTATTCTTTTTTTTGAGACAGAGCCTCAAGCTATCCCCCTGGATAGAGTGCCGTGGCATCACAGCTCACAGCAACCTCCAACTCCTGGGTTCAAACGAGTCTCCTACCTCCGCTTCCCAAGTAGCTGGGATCACAGGCGCCCGCCACAACGTCCGGCTATTTTTTGGTTGTAGCTGTCATTGCTGTTTGGCGGGTCCGGGCTGGATTCCAACCCGCCACCTTAGGTGTATGTGGCTGGCGTCTTAGCCACTTGAGCCACAGGCGCCGAGCCCTTAAAATTTATTCTTAGAGTACAAAGACCTGCAATGGCCAGGAGACACAGCAAAACACTCAACTGATGCGCCTTAATTTTGAATCAAAATTCAAGAGGCATTCCCCTTCTAAGGCACTATTTGTCCTCCTCCAGGAGGCAAGGAGTTGAACAACTTTCAAAATCCAAGTGGCCAAAACTTTTATCAGCACTACATATCCAAACTGATGACAGAAAACACCTCATGTTACAATTCAGGAATATTGTGGTGTATATAGCACATGAAGGATGGAACTCAAATGTGATCCTTCTACCAATCATACCGGCGACCAGTGCCTGAAACACATTCCTTCCTTGGGTCACAGAAGATAGCACGCTTTCCTCACCTGACCCTCAACCTCAAAATCAAAAAAGCCCCTCTATCTCCCCTAGTAATCAAAGGAGAATGGACGAAATGCCAGCAGCCCAGTTCACAGGGCCAACACATAATTTTATTAGTTTTTCTTGTTTCTATTTGGTACCTGTGTAGCAAGACATTTAGTAATACGTTTGGGGAGAAATAAAAGAAACAAATACTATACAACCAGGCTACCAATACTTTAGGTGCTTTCTGTTCGCATTCAAGACCGTCCCAGCTCTCAGCTGGAGTTCCCCTAAAGCCAAATACTAGGAACAACTTTATCAACCAGCGTCTGGAACAATCACTAGAACTACCGAGTGCAGGGGCGGGGGAGGAAACATTCGTGTCATCTGAACCTTTTTTTTTTTTTTTTTTTAACTTGCTGCCTGGGGCGTCTATAGAGTTCAATACGGAACCCAAAAATAGCTTTCCCACGACAGTAACAGAGGGAGTTGCTGGGAAACCAAAGGGATTTTTTCAATTTAAGCAGGTAACAGCTTCGTGGCGCGGGAAAATCCAAGAGGCAATTTCCTTTTCTGGGAAGGGGAAAAAGCAGGGTGAGGGGAGACAGGGCTGTGGAAGTTGGGGTTTCCTCCGGGAAGTGGAGTAAGCGAGGAGGAGGTGGCCGAGGGAGTGGAGGTAAGAGACAGGGCCAGGCGTCCCTGACCTGTAGTAAGCGAGGGGGCAGGAGGCGGCGTCCCCGACTTGTAGCAAGTCCTCCTCCGCCCCCCGAGGGAAGGGAGGCCGCGGCCGCGGGCAAGAGGCGCCCGAAGGGGACTCACCGCTCTAGTGCGCTGGGCCTCCGGACAAGGCGCGCAGGGCTCCACCCAGCCGCACCGCTCCGCTCAGCCAAGGCGCCGGAAGACGTGGACACCGCGCTCTGAGGCGAGGCGGTCCAGACGTCAGTGTCCGGGCTCCAGGACCAGAGCCGCTGTGTCTCCGGAACGCCCGGAGCCCCAGCCCCAGCCGCGGATGCCGCTGCTTCCGCCTTCTGGGAGCGCTATGACGAGCGAGAGGAGGGCACAGCGCGGAGGAGGAGACAGAGTCGGGCGAAAGCGCCTCCTAGCGGCGATCCTCCACGGAGTGGGCTGCTGCGCAGGCGCACGTCGGGCCAGCTGTCAACCCAGTGCGCTCAGCTTGTTTCCCTCCAGCTCGTGCCCGCCTGGGAATTCCTTACCCTGCAATCCTGAATTGGAGTGTGTTTTTGTGTGTGTTAGGGGGAGAATAGGGTATGACTAGCAATAAGATCTATGGCCATGACAAAATAGTCTCGGAGTAACTGTGATTTGGTGAGCAGTCGCGACAGCAGTAATCTCCAACTATGTTTTTATAGCTTCTCTATCCAGGCAGTAGAAAACCCCACGCGGGCTAATTCACTTTACCTCTCGGGGAATTCTTAAATCCCTCCCAACTCCACCATCCTTACTCTGGAAGTCTCCAATAGCTGGCTCCCTCTTCATCCAGCCAAGGGAATCAGCCCATGCATTAAACATTTCTTTGAAATTGCTGCCAGCCGCACCAGCCCTTTCTTTGTCACTGTCATGGGAAAACTACTTTGAATTTCTTGTTTAACTGGACGTAAATGGGTAGAGAAGGTAACAGGCATTTGTCAGGAGATGCATAAAAGGTTTCCACCCACCTCTGCAAAAGTGACTTGTCGTCCAGCTCTTAGAGGAGGTAAGATTTGGTGAGATTTGACGGAGTAGTGGTCCTGTGTACATATGCTAAAACCAGAATGCTTGGTTCCAATCCAGTTTTTTTTTTCTTAATAAACTATGTGACTTAGACAAATGACTTAATCTGTACTTGTTTCAATTTTCTCATCTCGTATTAACATTGGGATAATCATAGGGTTGTTGAACGGTGAGATAAGTTAAAACATGTAAATAAATTATTCAAAACTATTTTATCTATTCTCGAACTTGGTGTGGGCTTCATTAATACTAATAATACTGTATGTCCTGCATTCTGGCTGCTCATATTTATAGAAAATTCTTCTCTTTTGAAGGTGAAAATCTGCCTCCGGTTCTCAAATTATATGGACCCCCTTTAAAAAATGTTTTGAAATATTTAAGACATAAGACGTATTAGGAATTACACACAAACGTTTATATGCTCACCAATTTCTTAGCTTAAGAAATTAAGTATTTCCAGTAAAACTGCCAAACTTGCTTTATTCCTCTCAAGTAACCTCCACCTTATAAATATAAATCCCTTAAGGACAGAAAAGAGATCACTATATGAAATTGAGAGATATTTATTTTTTTAAAAAAGAAATTGAGAGATAGAGAAAGGGAAGAGCACAGGAATCAGAATTCCCTCCACTTATTAGTGTGAACTCTTGCACAAGTTATATAACCTTCATGACCTTCAATGGCCAAAAACCATACAAAAGGGAGATAATGTGTGCCTTACCAGGCTGTTGTCAGAATCAACTAATAAATATCTATTGCAAGAGGGCCAGCATGGTGGCATATGCTTGTAATCCTAGCACTCTGGAAGGCCGAGAAGGGTGGATTGACTGAATTCAGGAGTTTGAGACCAGCCTGAGCAAAAGTGAGACCCTCATCTCTACTAAAAATAGAAAAACTAGCCCAGTGTTGTGGCAGGTGCCTATAGTCCCAGATACTTGGAAGGCTGAGGCAAGGGGAGGTTGAGATTGCTACGAGCTATGACACCTTGGCACTCTACCCAGGGCACAGAGTGAGACTCTATTTCAAAAAAAGAGAAAAACATCTATTTTTAAAGAAGCTAGTATTGTGTTTGCAAAAAGATTAGGTGTTCTCTTGTGTGTTTCTTCACACTGCTTTCATAAGTGTCTTTAAAGGGCCTCCTCCTTCTTCTATAAATCCAATTTATTCTTCACCACCTTACACGTAGTAGAGAGTTTCAGTGCTCATCCACACCAAGGGCATAATTCCCTGTCCTCTTGCAGTCATGGAAGGCTGTGTGACTGGTTTTTCCCCATAGGCTATGAGGGGAAAGATGGATGTTCTTTGTGGGTCAAAGCATTTGATTTTCATTGCAAGACTGTTCCCTGTGTGCAACCAAAGGGGCTGTGGGGCAGCTATAAGAGAGGTGGATCACTAAGTTCATGTATAGAGGGCAGATGACTTGGAAAGTCAGCCCACATGTGTTGGACTTATTGAGCAGGAGAGACGTCCATGTTATTTTAAGCCCTTGAGATATTGGGGTTGTTCTTTCTGCAGGACAACTCAGCCTGCTTTATACACAGTTCCTTCTTGAAGTCTTTTATAATACCTGGAATTGGAAACCAAAAGTTCTACTCTTGGTTCTGCCACTCCATAAAATCGGCCAGGTGTTCTCCTCTCTAACATTGGAATTACATCTACCCTGTCTTCTTTTCAGAGCTGTTATGAATTCAAATAAGATCATATGTAAAGATGCTTTGCAAACTAGGAAGTCATATACAGATGGAAGGAATTGAATATTAAGATTAGTAGAGTTACCTATATATAGCAACCACAATACCCATGTCTTCTTAAAAGCTGCTAATTTAAAATATTTTGTCTAGTCATCCTTATAAGGGAATCAAATGTGTACAAAAATGTAGACACCATAGCTGCTATGGTTTGAATGTGTCCCCTGAAGTTCATGTATTAGAAACTTGATCCCTAATCTGGTGGTATTAGGAGGTGAGAATGAAGGGGAGGTGTTTGGAACACAGGAGCACAGTCTTCATCAATGGATTTAAGCCATTACCATGGGAGTGAATTCATTATGGTGGGAGTAGGTGCCATAAAAAGGACGAGTTTGGTGCTCTCTTCTCTTCCCTCACACTCTCTCACCCTCTTTTTGCCTCTCCACCATGGGATGACATAGCAAGAAGGCCCTGGCCAGATGCTAGCCTCTGAATCTTGGGCTTTTCAGCCTTTATTACGTGAGCCCATAAATTTCTGTTCATTATAAATTACTCAGTGGTATTTGGTTATAGCAGCATCAAAAAAACTAAGACAGTATCATTCCTAGATTGCTATTTATCACATCCTATTTGAAAAATGAAATATGATACATTTTGTATATGTTGGTAAAGGTTGGGGTGGGAAGATGAGAGATTCTTCCCCAAACATTTGGAAATAAAATAACTCTTTGAGAATTATTAAGAATTGTAAGATTAAGACACAGTTCATAAGTTCAAAATACATTTATCAAACGACCCTTGTGGGAGTATATAGCTGCTAGCCTTGAAGATGGTATTTATGACCATGTAGTTCCTCTTCTTAATAAACAGGGATGACTTGTGTAACCAATAGGATATTGTGGCAATGACAGAATGTGACTTCCTAGGCTAGGTTTAGAAGACATTGAGGCTCTCTCTTACTCTTTCTTGGATTAATTCCTTTGAAGGAAGGTCCTTCCCTGTCTTGAAGACACTCAAGCAGCCCACCGGAAAGGTTCACGTAATGATCAACTGAGCCTTCCTGCCAACAGCCAATGGATTGCTGAGGCTTCCTACCAAAGCTTATGAGTAAGTCATCTCAGAAGTAGATTTTCCAGTCCCAGTCTAGCCTTCAGATGATACGGCACCATCCAACATCTTGACTGCAACCTTGTGAGGGATCTGAAGCAGGAACCATCCAGCTAAGTTGCTTCTGAACTCCTGACCAGCCTCCTCCTAAAAACAGAATCTTTGTCACACCAGAAGCAGGAAAAACAAGTAGATATGTTAGTCTTTTATAAAAATTGCAGACCAATAAAGAATGAGTCAATCAGAAGAGGAATTAAATACAATGGGACCTAGAAAAAGTTCAAAGTGATCCACTGTAGCATTTTCTTTGTACATGCTGTTTGGAGGAGCAGGTGCCCTGGGTCAAAATCTCCCTATAGGTGCTCATTTTCAATGGCAGGCATTTTGGAGGTGGCCTGATATCATTAGCCCTTCAGTTGGTTGTTTTTTTTTTTTAGACAGAGCCTCAAGCTGTCCCCCTGGGTAGAGTGCTGTGGCATCACTGCTCACAGCAACCTCCAACTCCTGGGCTCAAGCAAATCTCCTGCCTCCACCTCCCAAGTAGCTGGGACCACAGGCACCCGCCACAACACCTGGCTATTTTTTGGTTGCAGCTATCTTTGTTGTTTGGTGGCCCAGGCTGGATTCAAACCTGCCACCTTAGGTGTATGTGGCTGGGCCTTAGCCACTTGAGCCACAGGCATTGAGCCAGTCTTTCAGTTGTTAAAGTTATTATCTACTAAATAATTTCACAATTGCTAACAATAGCTAAATGGAGTCAAAAAGGCACATGAAGGAATATTACCCAGTCGAAGATTCTTGCCTAGGAAGACACCAGGGCAGCCCCCACAATTCCTCCCTCTTCTCCACCCTCCCCAGCACCCCACTCCACCAAAATGAGAGGAAGTGCTTAGAGCTAAGGCAGGAGGAGGTGATGATAAGAGAAGGAATGGGGGGAGGGGACACAGAAGGAAGGGAAGATATTTGAGCATGTGGGAAGGCTCCTGAGTAGACTGCAAACTTTAACAACAGGCCACAGAGCATTGGGAAGCACGCTCTGAGCTGCCAGAAGGCAGAAGTTTCCCAAATCTTCTAAGATAATGAGTTTTTTTTTAATAGCCCATCTACATCAAGGAGCAGAAATACGTGCCCTCCCTTTCCACTTTCCTCCCCAAACCCCAAACAAGAACCTCAGCTTTTTCATGGCCACACTTTTTCTTCCCTCTTGGATAAGGTGAGAATCTAATGTTTGTTTGTTTGTTTGTTTGTTTTATTTGGGATAGAGGGGAAGGTAGGCTCATTTCTACAGCACCGGGGCCAGTTTTTTTTCCTAGTTTCACCAGTGTTCATCAAGCAATGTTGAGAAGATAAATTGGCCTAATTAACTGCTTCCTTGAGGGAAAGAATGTACCAGTCAGAGGATGCAAGTGTCTGATCTACTTTGAGTTATAATTTTAATGCAGATGGATTGCTTTTGTCTG